GGAAAGAGGCACTACAATAAACTCTCAAAGGTATTGCCAAACTCTCCAAAAACTCAGAAGAGCAATTCAAAACAAGCGCAGAGGAATGTTGAGCTCTAAGATCTTGTTGATTCACGACAACGCCCGGCCCCACACGGCAAATGTCACTCGTAAAGTTCTTGAATCTTTTAAGTGGGAGTTGTTTCCTCATCCGCCGTACAGTCCCGACCTGGCACCGAGCGACTTCCACCTATTCCCAGCAATGAAGAAGTGGCTGGCTATGCAGCGTTTTGATGACGACGCACAGCTGCAAGAAGAGGTAACGAAGTGGTTGAAGGCGCAGGCGGCCGAATTTTTCGACGAAGGAATTTCCAAGCTCGTACATCGCTACGATAAATGCCTTAATTTGTATGGTGACTATGTAGAAAAGTAGTATTTGAGTGTGGCTTTCATCTGTATATAATAAAATTTGTTTCCTATACTTTGTTTTTTTTTATTCCAAAACGTAATCTACTTTCTGGATAGCCCTGTATAATAATAGCACATTTAAAATGAAGGATTTGGTGATACGCAAAATCGCAAAACGAAAACAATAGTCCTTCAGGGAAAAGTCCCTTTGGACTAATAAACTAAACAAATTATAAAAACTGCTAATTCGGGAAATGTCGCCAAGTAAGGGATTAAGTCGCCAAAGAGCTTGTTTTCCATTTGATTCAGCCATTTAAAATTAGGCAAAAAAAAGCAAGCTTAGTTTGTGGCAGAATTTGAATAACTCCTGATTATGAGGATGATCAAGGTTCCTCTTTTTCAAAAGCAAAGAAATTCTCACAGAATTCTTTTCCCCCTGTTCCAGGAAGAGGGAGGGTGGAGGGAATCCCTGAGAACATCTGCAGCAAGCTAAGTTGCTTTTCTGCCTACTTTTAAATTTTATATTTGCATGTTCTTTTCCAGGGAAGGAGGATTGCCCGCCGAGTGTTTAGATTAGAGGCCGCGGCGGTCAAATAATTTCTAGAAATGTTATGAACAGTTTACAAATGAACTCTAGTGTTGCAGACATTATTCATAGTTCATAGACAAATTTTTACATTTTTCTCTAATTAAATTCTGTGAAAGTATTTATTAGCCCAAAGTGCATTAGCGCAGAAGGGCTATTAATGTCGTTTTGTTACTTCGCGTTGATTTACTATAAATGTCGGTTCACTTTTCAATTTGTTGCCACCAAATATTAGAGCCCTGCATTATATTTAAAGAAATTAAGTAATGAAAAACTTGCATAAATGTGATAAAACGACGGTAACTAGGTACCGTTGTTTTCTCACAGTGCGAGAAACATACATACATTCATGCAGATTCTTAATTATTTAATTTCTTTAAATATAATACAAGGCGATAATATTTGCTGGCAACGGTTTAAAAAGATGATTCGCCGTTTATAGTGAAACGTCACAAAATGCCGTTTTGAAACTAACAGCCCTTCTCTGCTTACCGCCCGTTTGGGCTAATAAAAGAACACATATATTAATCAATATAAGAATATAATAATGTAACAGGAATTAATACTAACTTATTTATGCAACTAGTTCGCACTGTTCTTTACCAGCATGACATTTGGGAAACTTCGATAATTTGGAAGTCACTATATTTATGTTTGAACAGTGGAACTCAGTTTACTAGCAAAACATTCTAAAACCTGGCTACTACGTAATATTTTGAAGGCAATTTCGGCGCAGCTGTTTCAACCATAAGTGGCTGATGATTTAGAGAATTTTCTTCCTACTGTACCGTCGTAAGGTATGCCACCACCCTGTGTAACCTTGTGGGATGTCAACCTGTTCTAGATAATACGAGTGAACTCGCCTTCTCTTTTCTTCTGTCTTCCCAGACTGCTTTTGTTTAATGGACAGATATGGACTTGATAGAAATACATATTGCATAGTACTCGCAAATTACGTTTATAATTATAATTGAATACTGTGTGACTTTGGTAAAATCTATATATAAAAAGAATATCTGTGTGTTCGCGATTAATTCAATCACTACTATAGCTATCGTCACCAAACTTTCTACAATTCTTTTCTGTGTTCTGAGAAACTGGGAATGGTCGACGTCCACTTTTTTCTTCTCCTAATCTTTTGACGTCACCACAAAAAAAAAAAAAAAAAAAAAAAAAAAAAAAAATATTAAAATTAGATATATTAATTAAAAATTCTAAAAACGCTAATTTTCACCCTAATTTTTCCGAGTGGCAACAGTCTTGCACGCTGGAGATAAAAATCTGCTTTGTTTCGAGAAGTGTTGCCACTGCTTACTTTTTTCCAAAAAAAATAGTTAAAATTAGAGATATTAATTAAAAACTCTGAAAACGCTAATTTTCGCTCTCATTTTTCCGAGTGGCATCAGTCTTGCACGCTGGAGATAAAAATCTGCTTTATTTCGAGAAGTGTTGCCATTGCTCACTTTCAAATTGTAGAGTTTGTAAATCAAAAATTTATAACTTTTGCAATGAAATAAAAATAGCATTGCCAAATATTGAATACATTATTCCCGATTCCAAAAATTCGTGGGAAGCCATTTCTACCATTCCATCTTGGTACGACTTTATTCCACCGAGGTATTAATTAAAAACTCTGAAAACAATAATTTTTGCACTCATTTTTCCGAGTGGCAACAGTCTCGCGCGTTGGAGATAAAAATGCTGTATTTCAAAAAGCGTTGCTACTGCTCGCTTTCTAACCGTAGAGTTTGTTAATCAAGAATTTGTGAGTTTTGCAAAATCTATCTATATTTAGATATATATAAAGAAGAATGCCTGTTTGTTTTTTCGCATTATTGTTTTCTGATCAGTTATGATCAATTTTTTGCCACATTTTAATCGACAAAAATTAAATATAGATGAAATATTGGATGGAACTTGAGCTTTTACGACCATTTGATTAGGAAGACGAAAATCATTAAAAACTGCGTACCATTGTTGCTGATATAATGAGAGAGAAATTAGCTTATTTTTCTATCGACATTTTTATGTGGGTTTCATATCACAACAGAGTGTATGATTTTGAATCTCATTTTTTTGCATCGTTATTAGAGAAGGATTGTAGCGGGATCGTTCTCTCTGGCTTTAGATACATTACTTTCAATCTAACTTAACTGGCATCGGGTACTTCCGCTAGTTAGTGATAAAGTGCAGAAGTATTCATGTATTCCTACGTGATTCATGAGATTAGCAGGTAACTCTCAGTTACTTTGCGATAATCTAAATAATGCAGTACTATTTTTGAACGTGAAAGATAGCTATTTAACTTCTTTTGCTCTTTGTTCAGTGTCACACTGTTAGCGCGATTTCTCTGCATTTCAACTACTAGGCATCGAAAGGGTCTGTTGGCTTTAATCTCCGTTTAAAATTTTTAGAAGAATTTTATTTTAGCGATATATTTCACTTGAGTGAAACTTTTCACTATTAAAAGAAATTGAGAAGCTTATATAAAATTTTATTTCAGTATTCAGTTGAAATCCAAACGTTTTACTGGAAATTATTCGATGAAAGATTTGAACGTAATGTCTAAAGATTTTAATCATGAATTCTAAAAGAAAAAAATAAGTTTTGTAGTCATTTGAAAAAAAAAAAAAAAAAAAAAAAAATTGTGAATTAGTTCTTTTTGTTTCTTTTGGTTTAATATGGATTATGTCTAGTTCTTTTTTAGTTTCTTTTTATTGGTATGAATATTCGTGTCGGGGAGGTTTCTGTAGACAAGGGATGCTAAAATACAATGGTTTCTAAATTATTTTTATATAAAAAAATTTTTTTTTAATTTTTTTTTTTTAAAGTTTAATTTAAAACTTGACTTTACTTGCTTGTTTTTCAAAAGAATTCTTTAAATTTTTTCTTTTTAGAACTTTAATTCTTAAATGCTAATTTATAAGGGTACCACTTTATTGGTATTTCTTTTTGGACATTCTTCGCTTTTTACTTTTGGTTTTGACTTTTACCCTTGCCTACATGAATGACGAAACACGAATTGAATGATTGGAGAATTAGGTTTGGAGGCAACTTCCCCTTGATAAGTCTGTCCTGCCTGCTCAACAGTCATTCACTTATGCATTTTTAAAAAAATTGTTTGAATTAATTTTAATTTGCTAAATTATTGAATTTATTTTCATGGATTGTTTTTGCACTTGATTTGCTTATACTTCTGAATTTAAATGATATTGTAGATTAGTTCAAGAATTAAATCTTTTATATGTTTGCACATTTTTTTAAATATATTTTTTTTAAAAATTATTTTTGCTTTAATTTTGGCATTAATTTTGCTTTTTTACTTTTACGTGTTTGTTAAAATTTAAATTTCCTTTCTTGCAGCAATGGCGCAAAGAATTATTTAATTAAATTTCTATTTTTTTAATTAAATTCTATTTATTCTTATGTAACAATTCAGTTAAGTAAGTCTTATAGTAAATACTACCAAAAAAAAAAAAAAAAAAAAAAGGAAACACTGATGTAATATTCTTTAGCCACCTGAAAACATTAAAAAAAAATTTCGAAATTTTAAATTTCGAATTTATTAAAAAATAAATATTTAAAATCCCGTAGAGCAAAAAAATATTTCTGAAATTTTTGAATTTATAAATTTTAACATACAAAAATTCTGAAATTATATTAACTTTAAAAAAATTCCAAAGTTGTGTGTTACGTATTTCTTCTACAGAAATTCCTATAACTAGATCGAAAATTTCGCAAAATTTGAAAAAATCGCAGTATTTTTAAGAAAACTATTAACCACCGAAGTCGCATCCACCACAGCGCTATTTCAAATAACGATGCATCAGTGCATAAACGCGAATTAGCAAAGAATAAATTGCTACTTCCCAGGTTGCATGTTTGCAAGAGGGGCGAATTTCACTTTTCTCAAGGTCACTAGCGGTCGTCTTTTGTTGAAGGGTTGTGAGGTAAAAGAGAAGTATTTCATTATACAATGCAAACGTATTCTCTCTGAACCACGGAATGTATTATAGAAGGTACTTACTTCCTGCTTCAATATCTGGAGTCGTTTATATCTTGCAATCTTGTTTTTCAAACATAAACACTGTTAAAAGAAATAGTAGAAGCGGCTTTCATTTCCTTAAATATTTGTCAGAAACATTTACTTCCATTTTCAGAGTTCCTCAAAATAAGATACAGAATTTTACAACAGTAGTTTCAGCACTGGGAGTGAAAAGGTGTTTTAAATTTTATTATTACACACACACACACATATATATGTCATAATAAGAGCAAAGGAAAAGGACGGAGCAGTGTAGATGCGTGATTAGATCCATATTGAAGAAAATTTTGATTGCGTAGTATTTAAAGAACTTGGCAGTCGAAGCAGTTTTAATTCCATTTTTATTTCCAATTTATTTTTGTGACCACAATCACTTGGCACTCTAGTCGTGCCTTTCCACAGCAGATTTAGATATTTGATATTGTTGGGATAGAAAGCAAGCCAGCGAAATTACATCTTAGCAGAGTACAGAGCAAAAGCTCAAGTGCGTAGTTATGAAAGATGGAAGTACGTGAAGAGAAAAGTTTTGGTTTACAAGGTCAGTTTCAGTTCTTAATTATTACGTCATCAGAGTTGCGCGGGCCATAGAGTGATCTAGAAATGACGCAATGCAGAGAAGTTAGAAGTTATTACGATTTTAGAAATAAAGAGGAAGAATTAATGTTTTTAGTTATTCTGATTCATATAATTTTATCTTACATATATATATATATATGTAATAATAAAATTCCATAGTAAGAATACACTTAAAATTCTAACTGTATGTTCTTTTCTTTTTTAATGGCGACGTTCTCTTATTTGAAAGTACGTGAATTAAATGCACAGCCCCGTAGTCAAGTTGTTTTTCTCGCCTTTTCTACACGTACAGTTATAGAATGTTCTGGAAATATTTAAAGCGAACTGGATTGGCTGACGTCATTTCTTCGAAGCTCCGCCTTTCCAGAGGCTATAAAAGGACTCGCAAAAGAATATCGGAACTTTTTCTTAAATGTCACGATGCAGTAAACTTCATACAAAAAGTTATTAGTAATTCTTTTTTATCTACTCCGGAAATATGATTTTTTAACTGCTATTTCTTCTAGCCAATAATAAATGGATCCTGTTTTATAAACTTATCGTCTGATAATTTAAGCTACGACTACATTTATGATTCTTCAGCATTCTATTTATTCCGGATAAAAGCTGGTACATCATATATATATATACAAATTTTAAAAAATCTGAAATGTTTCAGGTTTTAAATTACTTTGAAAGGGTCGTTTTATCTCACATTTTCTATATTACCTTTACTTATTAAATATCATGTTCTTCGCAGTTAAACCATAAAATTCAGTTCAAGAGCAATGTAGCAAAATAATTTTAAAATCAGCATATTTATAGAATTTCCGATACACAGTCTCGCGCGCTGGAGATATTTTTTTTTTTTTTTTTCTGTACAACAACGTCACCACTACTCGCTTTAAAATCCTTGAGTTTGTTAATCAAAAATTCGTTAAAGTTGTACAAAATATGATATAGATAATGAAACAAATTTCAAATTTGGGGTTCCAGATGCTCATATTTGCAGGAGGAGTACGTTGTTCAAAATTGTATGGCTCTAGGTACCATAATGTATTTAGAGCATAGTGTTTATTTTATTAGTGTTTAACAGTGTTTAGAGCATAGTGTTTATTTTATCACAGTGCAAAAAACATACACACATTTATGCAGGTTCTTCATTATTTAATTTCTTTAAATATAATACAGGGCGATAATATTTGCTGGCAACAATTTGAAATGTGAACCAGCGCTTGTAGTGAATCAACGCAAAATGCCAAAACGAAATTAATTGTCCTTCTGGGCAAATTGCTGCTTTGGACTAAAAAAAAGTGTTTTGTATGAAAAACTTTCAGTATTATTATGTGCAAAATTCAGTGAAGTACAGGTAAATAATAGTTTTTCAGTTCTGTATAAAGATGCAATATTGTATTTACATCAAATTTGTTGTGCTGCGTTAGAGCGCCGCTATTGTTGTTATGTTGTGACCTTATCTCATTTGTCTGATAGCAAACTCAGAACAAGCCCATCATTGTGGCAAGGATTGCAAGATTGCGTCAACCATTGTCAAAAGGCCCACCAGCGGCCGAGCGGTAAAGTCGCTGAACACTGGTAGTTCGGTCCGAGGTTCGAATCCCGCAAGCGGGCAGGCTGCATGGGTGTTTTCGTGGTTTTCTCCATGTGTAACGTGTATACGAGCCAGTTTCCCTTAGAAAGTCCTCCACGAAGGCATCCCTCCTCTTAGGCAGATAGCCCTAGTGTGCTTTGCCGTAATTAAATACACACACACACAGACATTATCAAAAGTCTTGAGCACCATAGGTGACAGTCAAGACTGAGTCATAGGTGAGTTTCGCCCCCAATTATGATGGAGAAAAACCCGGGTGGGCAATGGGTCCGAGGGTCTCCCACCCGTCTTCCCCTACCCACAACCTCTCGAGAGAACTTTTGGCTCGCCGCATATTTAGAATGCCCCCATGCCACACAGACACTATACATTTACAAACATCCATGCCTTCTCCGGGTATGACAGTCAGAATCACTAACCACTATTGGGCGGCGGCTAGATCACCCTGAACTACTAAGTGTCCAGTTACCTTCCTGCGTAAAGATAGAGGATTCACTAGACTCAACAAGCGTATGGAATTAATTATGGTGGTCTTCATATGTTTTCTGAGAATCTAAAATTCTCTGAGGAAAATGCTCACTGTGCTACTCACAATGTTCCGGAGTTTGGTCCAGATGAGAACATGAAAAGTGAAATGAAATATTCATTCACGTCGTTTTTCTCTCCAAATGACTTGTTGTATAGTGTTAGCAGTTCCTACTTTAACTTCCTTATTTAATAAAAAGGAATTAATTTTAAAGCATATATTATTTATAACAGCTTTTCAGTTTCAGCTTGAGATGTGTGATTTTTCCCTATATAAACGCGAGTGAATTCCACTTTGAAAACTTTCGTAGAAGGACTTCCCGTTTCAAACAGCAAATGATCCTTGCTACATTTTTAAATAATGATTACGGATTGGGATATTTTTTAAATTTTAATAACTTCATAAACAATATATTAATTTGCATTTTTAAAAATTCTGTTTTGTACGATAAAAGAGTGTTTATTTTTCTCAGTGTCCCTTAAACACATCATTTTTAGATTAAAGGGGCAATATGCCCAGAAGGGCTATTAATTTCGCTTTGGCATTTAGCGTCAGTTCACTATAAATGTCGGTTCACTTTTCAAACTGTTGCCACAAAATGTTAGAGCCCTGCATTATAGTTGAAGAAATTAAATAATGAAGAATCTGCATGATTTTTTTTTTTTAATGTTTCTCGCGTTGTGAAAAAACAACGATAACTAGAGACATCGAGTTTTGAATAACGTAGTCCTCCATTCGACTATGGGCATCTGGAAGACCGAATATGGAATTTGTGTTATTAGCTATTTCATGTTTTGTCAAACATTTAAGAATTTTTTATTAACAACCTCAAGGATTTCAAAGCGAATAGTGGCAACGTTGTACAGAAAAAAAAAACATTTTTATCTCCAGTGTATCGGAAATTCTATAGATATGCTGATTTTAAAATTATTTTGCTATATTGCTCTTGAACTGAATTTTATGGTTTAAGTGCAAAGAACATGATATTTAATAAGTAAAGGTAACACATAAAACGTAAAAAAAAAAAAAAAAAAAAAAAAAAAAAAAAAGCCTCTTAAGCCTTTCTCTCTTAAGGACGTAATATAAAATCTGAAAGCTAGCTTTCAGATTTTTTAGATTCATTTTTCTCGTAATCCTTTCATTTACGTATCACCGAGTATATAAAATTTCAGAACTCTCATAATTTACTCCAAAGAAGTGGCAGCAGCAAATGTGCTCAGGCTATTTGAAAGCTTGCTCTAATACGTTATAAGTGAAGCCGTATATAATGCAAATCCAATTTGAGAAGGTAATCTGATAAGTGTTCTCGATCTTCTTGGATCCTAGACATGTTAGTTAATCAGATTCTTGCTAAATATATGTAGACCGCGCGGGGGGAGGAGGGAATAAATGAGCATGACTATTATGTACTTTGCCACCTCGAACCCAGTAAAATTAGATTATGTTACCCACTGTGAGGAGTGGTATCTTTTTGATAACGCCAAGCAAGCTCATTCTCGGCCTGCCTGTGGGACGACTTCGGCTTTCTGCATCCGGTGTCTTCCTTCTGATCAATAATTCTTTGAACTGCAAGGTCACAACATTGCACGTGGGTTACTTCTGGTATTCAGGACATGTTTTGCATATTGATGTCTTTTATACGCAGCTATCACTTTCCTTTAATTCTCTTCGTGATAGCTACGCTCGGATTTTATTGTGTGACAGAGTCGAATTTTTACGTAAGTACGTCCTTTTTAGTTTTTCTGTTTCAGTGTAGAATTTCTTACTTTAATAATTCCGAACTAATTCGTAAACAGGATTTGTACAATACCATCAAGTTCTTTGTTTAAGAAAAATGTTGTAATAAATCATATTTACATTTGTATAGCAGACTCTCAATTTATCGGTGCGATCTACGGTCTCCTAGGACCTCAGATTTTAGAGAGCCCTGGAGTGGTCTTGTACAGTCTATCTATCATAAGAAAAGCTCTCGCCGGTTAGTCTGCAGCTGTCTGTTAACGTAGAAACAAGACTTGACCCATTTTACGTAGGGGTGTCTTGAATGATAAACTCTTTTCCCCTCATCCCTGATCCATTCCCATCATCTATCTCCTTGAATGATAAACTCTTTTCCATCATCATCATCATCATCATCTTCCATCATCATCACAGTCACAAAATAACAATGAAGCAACCCTTGGTTCGCCCCTATTTGAAATATATTGACCCTGTTGCTATAAATGAAGGTAACAGACAAAATGTAAAAAAAATTTTTTTTTGGACGTAATTTAAAATCAAACCTTTCAGTTTTTTTTTTTTTTTTTTTTTTTCAAATGAATATGTTAAAGAAGTATGTGCGAAGTGACAAAATCCGAAGATAAAAAAGTTAGTTAAAACATAAGCTTGACAGCTTTTAAAATTGTGATTACATAGAATTCTGATATCAGGGACCGACTATTCAACTTTCCAAAGGAATTAGGAAGAGATTATTTAACTTTACCACTGAAAAATATCAAGGAATGATCTTTTAACTTTAACAGGAGACTCGAAGAATCTGGCTATGAATAGTTAACTTTATGAAGACCACGAAGCAGTTTTCAACTTTACTTTCTGGACGACGTAACGTGTGAT